AAAACTAAAAATCAACACTCAAAAATCAGTTGCATTTCTATCCACTAATAATGACCAATCTGAAGGGGGGGGGGGGAAAGACATCAATTCCATTCATTATGGCAACAAAAAGAATAAAATACTTAGGAATAAGCTTAAGCAAGGATGTGAAAGACTTCTACACTACAAACTAAAAAATACTGCTAAAAGCAATCAAAGATAGAAATAAATGCAGAGATATCCTGTGCTTGTGGATTGCAAGACTTAATACAGCCAAAATGTCCATGCTACTCACAGCAATCTACAGATTCAGTGCAATCCTTATTAAAATCATTATGGCATTCAGTACAGAAATAGAAAAAAAGATCCTAAAATTCTTATGAAATCACAAGGGACTCTGAATAGCCAGAACAATCTTGTAATAGAACAAAGTTGGAAGAATCACACTGCCTGATTTCAAAACACATTACAAAGCAAGATGGTGTGAACTTCAATAAAGACAGATGTATAACCCATGGAATAGCAATGAGAGGCCATAAGTAAATCCTTGCATATTTGGCCAAATGATTTTTGACAAGGTTGCCAAGACTACACAATGGGGAAAGGATAGTCTCTTTAACAAATGGTAAATGTTCCTGGGAAAACTAAATATCCACATGAAAAAAAAAAAAAAAAGTAGTAGTAGTAAAAGAAGGACCTGGACCTTACTTTACAGCATATAAAAATTAACTCAAAATGGATTAAAGACTTAAGACTTAAAACTATTAAACTCCTACAAGAAAATATAGGGAAAAACCTTCAGAAGATTGGATTTGGCAATGATTTCTTAGAAATGACACCAAAATCAAAGGCAACAAAAGAAAAAATAGGTGGGACTACATCAGACTTGACTTTTGTGCATCAAGGGACACAGTCAACAGAGTGAAAAGGCAGCCTATAGAATGGGAGAAAATAATTGCAAATTATATATCTGATATGAGTTTAATATCCAGAATATATAAGGAACTTCTACAACTCAACAACACAAAAACAAATGACTCAATTAAAAAATGGGAACATGACTTAGATACTTCTCCAAGGAAGATATACAAATGGCCAATATGCACATAAGAAGATGCTCATCATTACTATTAGGGAAATGCAAAACTATGAGACATTGACTTAGACTCACCAGGGTGGCCACTATCAAGGGAACAGAAAATAAAAAGTGTTGACAAGTATATGGCATAAGGTGAAGCACTTGTGCACTGTTTGTGAGGAGTAAAATGGTTCACCCATTATGGAAAGCAATATGAAGGTTTCTCAGAAATTTAAAAATGCAATTATAATATGACCCAGCAATCTCACTTCTGGATATATATCCAAAACAATTCAAAGAGATATTTTAACCCATGTTCACTTTAGCATTATTTACAATAGGCAAAAGGTAGAAACAATCCAAATGTCCACTGATGGATGAATAGATAAAGAAAATGTGCCAATATATACAATGGACTATTAAGCAACCTTAAAAAAAAATAAGAAAATCCTGTCACATGCTGTGATATGGTTGAACCTTGAGGGCATTGTGCTAAATGAAATAAGTCAGTTGCAAAAGGGCAAATGCTATATGATTCCACTCATCTTAAGTAATCAAATCATAGCAACAAAGTAGAAAGGTGGTTACCAAGGCAGGGGTGGAGAAGGAAGAGGGAATTTTTAATGGTCAGTGGTTACAGAATTTTAGTATTATAAGATGAAAAATTTCCAGAAATCTGTTGCACAATAATGTGAATATACTTAACACTACTAAACTGTACATGTAAAAAGTTAAGATGTGAATTAATGTTATGTGTTTTTTACCACAATAAAAAAAATTAAGGCAAAAAAAAGTGAAGGAAAAATAAAAACTTGCAAGAAATGTTTTTAAAAAGTTCTTCAGAGAGAAAGAAACATATATAGGTCAGAAACTTGGATCTATATAAAGAAAGAAATACCCCCGTAGAAGAAATAAGTGAAGGGAAAATAAAAACTTTTATTTTCTTTATTCTTACTTTACCTTACTTTTGAACAAACAAATAATAATTTATTCAAAATAATAATAGCAATAATTTATTCAATTATGTATGCTTTTGTATATGAGTGGTCGTCAAAAAGTTCATTAAAAGATTTGCGTTATCTTTTAATTCCATTTTACCCTCATATATACTCATATATAAGTGAAATGAATGACAGATACAAAGGATGGGAGGTAGGAACTAGAAATGTTTTGTTATTGTAAGGTACATGCACTAGCTGTGAAACAGTATAGTGTTACTTGAAAGTGTACTAATCATTTCATTGTCTTTCTCAAGTTTTACCACCCATGTATGCATACCTAAACAATTGGTTTAATTTAGCCTACTTTTAAATTTGTTCTTTTTCTTACCTCTTTTATTAACGCTTTTTTGGTGAAATCAATCCATCTTATTGCATGTAGGTGTAATTCATTCACTTTCCATTATATAAAGATATTTTTTATTCATTTTACTATTAATATATAATAGCAATATTCTATAATATTAATATATTAATACATTTGGGTTTTTCTTAATGTCATTATAGACCATGCTTTTAAGAACACTCTTGCGCATATATTCTGGTGCAAATGTACATGAACTTCTTTAAAATACATACCTAGAAGTAGATTAGATGGATCATAAGATATACCTATCTTCACTTTTATTGGATAATACAAATAATTTCCAAAGTAATTGATAGTACTCCCACCAATAGTGTACAGGAGTTCCTGTTGTTCCCCATATTTACCAACATTTTATACTGGTGGACTTTTAAATTTTAGCCATTTGGGTGGGTGGGCTTATAAAGATATCTCATTGTGATTTTAATTTACATTTCCCTTCTTGCCAGTGAGGATTAGTACCTGTTCACATTATTATTTACCAGTTGTATTTTCACATTCATGAAGTTCCTTTCTTGCCCTTTACCCATTTTTCTGTTGGGTTGTCCTCTCCCAGCCCTTTCATATATAGGAGGAATTCTTTATATGTTTTCACAACCCCTCTGGAGTTAGAATATGTAGTGATACAGTCCTTTAATGAGAACAGTTGACTATATGTGTGTGAGTCTATTTCAGGGCTCACTATTCTGCCCCATTTATTTATTTGTTTATTCTTTCATTGATACCACACATCTTAATTACTATAGTTTTACAGTGAGTCTTGACACTGGGTAGTGTCAGTTCATCGACTTTGTTGTTATTCTTCAATATTGTGTTGGTTATTCTAGTCTTTTGCCTTTCCCTATATACTTTTAAATCAGGAAAGTCAAAGCAGACCACTCTGGTATGGAAAAGTATTATAATCACTAACATTGTTTAGAACTACTGGTACACGGTGATAATAAAAAGCATTTTGGTCAGTTTCATTATTGTTTTTAAATTTTATGCAGACCATGCACCCCATTCCTGCCTTGACGAGGACACAACAAAAGAACATCTCCCGTATTCAGTCATTCATTATTAACTGAGTGTCTACTTGGTGTTAGGCATTTTATATGGCAAGGACTCAGAAAGTAATATTAGAGTATACTCAACATGATTTCTTAAATAAACTAAGGGTGATGATTGAGAAAACAAAAATATTCACTTACCTTTCTTGAATTTATGTATCGGGAGTTTCTTAAGTTGATCTTTACGAAGTCTGTTTCTTCTAGCTCTATGTCTGTCCTGGACAAATTTTGTGATCTAACAATAAAAGAGAAAGAAAAGGAGTCAGATTTTAAACATGCAAACAGAAAATGCCCATTGAAATAGGAAATATCTTTTAAGTTTCTGGATAGCTTCTGTAAATCAATTCATTGTATTTAAGTCCTAATCACAATAACATTAAAGTATTAAAGCACTGAATTACATTACTAATTAGTTAACCCATAAAATTCTCCTTTGAATTTTTTATTCATTTACCTTGACTATCTTTAATATACTGACAGAGACATTACAAATAGCATATAAATGTTTGCTTGCATACAAAAGCACCATCCATAAAAGAAAAACTTGACAAATTTGACTACCTCAAAGTTCAGAACTTCTGTCCTCAAAAGACACTTAAAAAAATAAAAGATGAGCTACAAACAGAGAGAAAATATTTGCAAATTGCATATGTGATAAGGGAATTGTATCTGGAATATATAAAGAACTCTCAAAACTCCATAATAAGAAAAAAACCTACTCAATTGATAAAATGTAAAAAAATGGACAAAATAGTTGAATAGACACTTCACCATAGAAGATATACAAGAAGATATACAAATGGTAAATAAGCACTTGAAGAAATGCTCAACATCATTAGTCAACAGAAAAACAAAACTTCAAATCATAATTAAATACTACTATTGAATGACTAATTTAAAAGACTAACTAAACCAAGTGTTGGTGTGGAAGTGAAGGAAGTGGCATGCTCATACACTACTGGTGGGATTATAAAATGGTACAACCACTTTGGAAAACAGTTTGGTGATTTCTTTTAAATTTAAACATGTATTTATTATGTGACCCAATAATCTCACTCCTAGATAAACTTACCCAATAAAAATGAAAACATATGTCCATATAACAACTGTCCATGTCAGCTTTATTTGTAATAGCTAAAAACTAGAAACCACCCAATGTCCATTAACAGGCAAATGGATAAACAAACTACAGTACGTTCATACAATGGAATACAACTCAACAATAAAAAGGAATGAGTAGTCAATACACTCAATAACATATGTAAAATCTCAAAAATAATTATGCTAACAGAAGGCAGACACAAAGAGTACATAGTTTATGATTCCATTTATATAAAATTGTAGAAAATGAAAACTAATCCATAGTAACCAAAATCAGATTTGTGATTTCCTGGGAATGTGGGAAAGGGGGACATGAAGGAGAAATTGGAAGGGGTGAAAGAGAAGAATTACCAAGGAGCATGAGGAAGTTTTCTGGGGTGATCAATATTTCATTATCTTGATTGTGGTGGTGGTTTCACAGGTGTAGGTTTGTGTGCGTGTGTGCACGTGTGTGTGAGAGAATATCAAAACTTAGCAAATTTTATAATTTCAATATGTGTAGTTTATTATATGTCAATCATGCCTCAATAAATTTTTCAAAAAGTTTAACAGTAGCTGCTAAAAGAAAAACAATACAATGTAAGCTTTCAAGTCAATAGGAGAAAGGGAGAGAGAAAGTAAAAGTTAAGTAATCCAAATTTACATAGAAAAAAATGGAAAAGTAAACAATAGAAATTAATCCAAATATGTCTATGATCACAATAAATGTAAATGGATTAAATTCACCAGTTTTTTAGAGACATGTAACATACTGTATGAAGAAAAATTTCAACCATATCCTATTTACAAGACACAAGATTAAAACTGAATGACATATTAAGACAAAAGTAAAAGTAAAAACTAAAGGGATAAAGATACACAATAAAAATAATAAGCAAAAGAAAAGCTGGTATATGAGTGAAAGAATTTAAGGCAAAAATCATTAGAAGAGAGTCATAACAATGATAAAAAGGACACTCCACCTAGAAAATAACAAAATTATGGAAGAAATACACAAATTCATAAGATCAACAATTTATAGCTTGAGCACACAAAAATTTAGAAGACTACAGACCTCTGTTATCCAGTCTGGTTGCCACCAGGTAAATGTGGCTTCTGAGCACTTGAAACATAGCTAATCTGAACTGAGATGTGCTATGAGTATAAAATACACACTATATTGCAAAGACTTAGTACAAAAGGAATGTAAAAATATTTATAATTATTTATATCAATTGAATGTTGAAATACATTTTAGATTTATTAGGTTAAATAAATATAGTATTAAAACTAATCTCATCTGTTTCTTTTCATCTTTTTTAATTTGGATATCAGAAATTTTCAAATTATAATAATGTGGCTCATAATATAGTTCTATCACTTAGCACTGCTTTAGAAAATAAACATGCAAAATACTGTGAACAACTTTGGTGATACTTGCACAATTCTGTGAATATACTAAAAATTATTAAATTGTTCACTTTAAATGGGTCAACTTTATGTTATGTGAATTATATCTCAATAAAGCTGTTATAATACTAAAAAAAAGAGTAGACAAAATAAAATTCACAAGTTCAATCCAATGGATATAAACTCTGCAGTCCACAAATCTTTTCACAAACATGGGGAATATTTATAAAATTTAACCACAAAACTATGCCACAAAGCAGGTCTTTGAAAATAACTAAAGAATTCATAACATACAATGTTTTCTGACCACAATGCAAGTGAATTAGAAATCAATGGGAATAGGAACAGTTATTTCTGAGGGAGCCTTATAATCAGCATCGCTCTTTGCCACCGGGATTCTAAATAACTTGCAGATGGAGGAAGGTGAAGTAACTTGCTCAATGAAGAAAGAAATAGAACTTTTTACTGAGCCATAGAATTAGGTTGCCTTAACCCAGATATAGGCAAAAACAACTTTGGAATGGAGTAGGCCTTCCCTTCACCCTGCCCCATACATAACTACAGAACCAATCCTGGAGGAGCTGAATGAACACCTATGCCCTGACTACAGATTGATCCCAAAAGAAAGAAGGTGAACCTGAGCCAAGTATGCCCAATTTATCCTTCTCAAATGTACCAGATAGATAAGACACTTCATCTCCCCCTAAGACAACGAGTAAAAAGGGTAGAAAAGGGCTAGGAGTTACAGTAACTGAGTTCCCCCTTCTTGTGGACGGAAACATCAGAAGTGGTAAAGAAACTCCTACATAACAATGAAATTTTTTAAAAAAATTTAAGTCAAATGAGAATAAAAAATTATCAAAAGTTATGGGTTATAGCTAAAGTGATTCTTAAAGAGAAATTTACAAACTAAATGCACATACTAGAAAGAAATATAATCCGCATTCAACTGAACAAGCTGGAAAAAGAAAAGCAATATAATTAAAGTAGAAGAAAGAAAATACAAGTCATCCCTTGGTATCTGCAGGGGACTGATTCCAGGAACCTCCATGGACACCTGACTCCACAGGTGCTCAAGTTCTGCAGTGTGGAACACTCAGATATGAAAAGTCAGCCCTCTGTTTCTGCAGGTTGCATATCCCTGTATTTTAAACTGGGTGGTTGAATCTGCAGATGTGGAACTGCAGATAGGAGGGGGCTGTATTTATTGGGGGAAATAAATCCACCTATACTTATAAGTGGACTCACACACTTCAAATCTGTGTTGTTCATGTGTCAACTGCAGTGATGGTTAAGAGCAGAAATTAATGATGAAGATAAAGCAAAAAATTTAGAATTTAAGTTCCACAAAAATATAAGCTGCTTGACAACAGGGATTTCTACCTATTTTGTTCACTGATGAATCTGCAGACCCTAGAGCAGTGCCTAGTTCATCATAGGAACAGAATAATTTACTAAATGAAAGTCTACTTCTTTGAAAGACTAATAAAAACATAAACTTCTGACAACACTGTGCAAGATACAGATGGATATTAATAAAGAGAACTCATTCGACATATAGTAGAAATTATCTTTTTTTACTGAAACATAATTGATTATATGTATTTGTGGGGTACAGAGTTGACTATCAATACTTGTGTACAATATGTGATGATCAAATCAGGATAATAAGCATATTGGTCACTACAAAATGTAATCATTCTTTGTGTCCATTACCAATTTCTCACTAAATGCCTTCCCCCTCCCCTCTCCCACCTCTAGTAGCCATAATTCTGTTCTCTCCTGAAAGTCAACGTATTATTGTTATTTTCCTTCCTTGCTCATTCCCTCATTCCCTCCCTCCCTCCCTCTTAGGAGTGGTACATGTGGTATCTCTCTGTGCCCGGCTTAAGAAATTTTCTTTAAATTGTTATGAGTACATGAATATTATAAATTGCTTTATTCCACTACACTTGAAATCAGACACTTTCTTGGAAATATAAGAAATAGAAAGTCATCTGAATGTCCACCTAACTATGGAAAAGGTCATTAGACCTAGATGATTTTATAGGCAATCTCCACCAAAACACACACACACACAAAACAATCAAGTGATAAACCCAATTTTATAAAAAAAAAAAAAATTAGAAAATTTAAAAATTAAGAGAAAGCTTTAGTTTTATAATAGAATAATTTTGATTGTCTATTTTAGTGGTTTTTCTTAAATTATGGAAAAGTACACATAATCTTAAACATTTTTAAGTGTAGAGTTCTGTGGCTTAAGTATATTCATATTGCTATCACCATCATCCATCCATAGAACTCTTTTCGTCTTGTAAAACTGAAACTCTATACCCATTAAACAATAACTCCCATTCTTCCATTCTACCTTCTGTCTCCATGAATTTGACTACTCTAGATATCTCATGTAAGTGTAATCATGCAGTATTTGTCTTTTTGTGACTGGCTTATTTCACTTAGCATAATGTCTTAAGTTTCATCTATGTTGTAGCATGTGTCAGACTTTCCTTCCTTTATAATGCTGAATAATATTCCGTTGTATGTATATGCCACAATTCACTTACCTGTTCATCTGTCAGTAGACACATGGGTTGCCTACACCCTTGGCTATCATGAATAATGCTGCCATGAACATGGGTGTACAATTATCTGAGTCCTTGCTTTTATTTCTTTTAGGTATATACCCAGAAGTGGAATTGCCAGATCATATGGTGGTTTTGTTTAATTTTTTGAGGAGTTGCCATACTATTTTCTACAGTGGCTGCTCCATTTTACATTCCTACAACAGTGCTCCCAGAATTGTCTAGTTTTTATGTCAAGATTATTCTAGCCCTATAAAACTAAAGCTTTCCCTCACCTAGATATTCAGATTGTTAATATTTTAGGATTTTTTGCATCTATGCCCAAGTATAAGATTGATCTATATTAGAAATCTGAATAATCCAAAAAATGTAAACACAAAATTTATACATCAGAATCAAATAGGATTATCCCCAGGATGCAAAGATTTTTGAAATTTATAAAACAAATTAATGTAACACAACATATGAACAGAGTAAAGGAGAAAAACCAATGATCATTACAACAGATAGAAGAAAGATATATAATTCAGTACCATTTTTAAAAATAAGCAAATAAAAATCCGGTTTCTTCATTTTCAACCCTTATATTACTTTTTTCCCCTTGTTTTACCAGAAAATATAGTATAGTGTTAAATAGTAGGTACAACAATAAGCATCTATTTCCTGTTCCTTAGTTTCTAGGGAAGGCTTCTAATATGTCACCATTTTAATGAGGTTTATTCTAAGTTTTTAATCTATAATCTTTATCAGCTTAAGGATATTTTCTTCTACTCCTAGTTTGCCAAGGATATTTTGTTTGTTGTTTGCTTTTCTAACTTCTACCCTGCCCAAGCAAATCAATGAATAAATTACCAAAATAGAAGAATTCGGCAAATTTGTAGACATAAGATTAATATGGAAAAATCAATAATGTCTAGTGCCCAAATCCTGGTTTCTAAATACAACTCTCAAGACTGGCTGGTTAGCTCAGTTGGTGAGAGTATGGTGTTGATAACATCAAGGTCAAGGGTTTGGATCCCCATACTGGCCAGCTGTGAAAAAAATTAAAAATTAAAAAAATAAAGTAAATAAATATACCTCTCCAATAAAAGGAACCAGGGCTCCTTCCAAAAATGTCTGAATTCCAGGGCTGAGACCAGAAAAATATGAGATGAGCCTGAAGTATCTTTAGCACCAGGCTGTAGTAAAGAAGTGCTTGAAAAAGCAAAAAGATGCGGTCGAATCAGAGACAGGACTCAGCCTGACAGAACTCCCAATAGCCAAAACTCAAATGATTTAAAACAACAAAAATAATATAGCTATTGAATTATAACCCAACTATAAAATAAATATATGAAGGTTCTTCAAAAAGTTCATGGAAATATTTGTAGTATCTTTAAATTCTATTTTTTCCATGAACTTTTTGAAGTACCCCTATACATGAGGGCACACTAATATAAATGATTGAACAAACAAATGCCAAGAAGAAAAATCTTCCTTACAGAAGAATTTCAAACAACATATGTAGACACTCTCCCCTCCAAGAGATAGAGATAACTCCTGCCTCTCCCCATATTTAGGGTGGGCTCTACTTAGTGCCTCACTTCTAAAGAGCAGAGTGGGGAAAGAAAAAATATCAACATTATAGTGGAGAAACTTGGCAAACACAACCTTAAACAAGGGTGAAGGTTAACATCAGTGATGTTATGTGGATATCAGGTATCTCCTGACATGTTTTAATGAGGAGGGCACTTAATCTGGGTAAAATCCCTTTCAGAAACCTATAAGCCAGACTAATCGTGAGAAAAAAAGAAGATTGAGAGATATTCTATAGGATATGTGGCCAGTCCTCCTCAAAACTCTCAAGGTCATAAAAAACAAGGACAGACTGAGAAACTGTCATAGACCAGAGGAGATTGGGAAGACATAATAACTAAATACAGTGTGGTACCCTGGATTCAATCCTAGAACAGAAAGAGTCATTAATGGAAAAACTGATGAAATCCAAACGAAGTGTGGAGAGTCCTGGAACCATACTTTGGTAACCACTGTTTTAGAGAAACTACATGTCATCCCCCTAAACTTCAAACCCTCATACTATTCTATTTTTACATTTTAATATAAAAAATTTCAAACTTTCAGAAGAGTTGAAAGAATTTCATAATAAATATCCATATATCCACCACCTAGATTCTACAATTTTACTATACTTTTTTTCATATATCTATTCATCCCTCTATCTACCCATCAATACTTTTTTCTTACTAATTTTTTACAATGCTTTTCAAAGTAAACTGCAAGTATGACTATACTTCCCCCAAAATACT